GGCGCTCCTCCTACGTTAAAACCCCGCCCAAAAAAAAAAAAAAAATGAGTCCGTCCAGAACACAAGAGGATTGGAAAAGGTTTCCATAGCAAAGAGCGCAGCATGAACACAGGTCCTGGGGACTAGAGAGTGAAAGCTTGAAGAGTGGCAGGATAGGTATGTGAGGCCCACGGGCAGTAGGCATGAGGTCCTGGGTCATACCCTAGCACTGCATGCCCTGGCAGGTTGTGAGTGAACCACTCAAAGCCACCTGAGCTCCTGGAGGGCAGAAGTGACCAGGCTTCCCCACTCTCTGCGTCACACTCCACATGCCCACTCATCAGTGAAGACAGGAGTGATGGCGGGGATCACGGCCCCCTGGGGGAGGGCCTCCGGCTGGTGGACACACTGGTTGTGCTCCTACCTGCCCTCAGGGACCAGAACAAGTACAAGGAGGCAGCCCACCTGCTCAATGATGCCTTGGCCATCCGGGAGAAGACACTGGGGAAGGATCACCCGGCTGTGAGTGAGGGTCGGGCAGGAGGTTGGGGTTGTCCCCCCCAATTTCCTGCAGCTCCCAGGTCCTGGAGTCTTTGCCCAGTAGGGCACTGAGTCAGGGAGCCTCCATTCTCCCACCTTCCAGGTGGCCGCAACACTAAACAACCTGGCAGTTCTATATGGCAAGCGAGGCAAGTACAAGGAGGCTGAGCCACTGTGCAAGCGGGCACTGGAGATCCGGGAGAAGGTGGGAGCAGGCAGGGCTGGGCAGCCAGGCGGGGTCAAGTGGGGTCCCCAGCAACCCTGAGGCAAGCCACTGGCTCTCTCTGCCATCCCAGGTTCTGGGCAAGTTTCACCCAGATGTGGCCAAGCAGCTCAGCAACCTGGCCCTGCTGTGCCAGAACCAAGGCAAAGCCGAGGAGGTGGAATACTACTACCGGCGGGCACTGGAGATCTACGCCACGCGCCTTGGGCCTGATGATCCCAACGTGGCCAAGACCAAGAACAACTTGGTGCCCTGGGCCAGGGGGGCTAGGGGATGAGAAGGGGGGAGGTGGTTTGTGTTTAGGGGGTGGAACGAGAGGAAAAGGCTTGGTCCCCTGGCCTACTCACCCTTTGGACTCTGCCCCCGCAGGCCTCCTGCTACCTGAAACAGGGCAAGTACCAGGATGCAGAGACCCTGTACAAGGAGATCCTCACCCGCGCTCATGAGAAGGAGTTCGGCTCTGTCAATGGTGAGTCCAGCTTTGTCTAGCACAGGCCCACTCAGCTATTGGCATCCAGGACAAACACCCCAGCTGGCAGTTCTCACACCTGGGGTCTGGCTGGTACCCATTTGGAAGGTGTCTAGCCACTCGTGCCCATATCTGCACATATGAACACATACTTAACTCACACAGCCCCCTTGGCCTACACATGCCAGGTTTACGCATACCCCATGCTCTTGACCCAAGTCATTGGGCAACTCTTGCACACCTGGAGGAACTGGCCTAAATGTCTCTCCCTCTGGAAAACCACCTTTTGGTCCTTTGCGGGAGAGTCATTTTGGTTTTTGGAGCCCAGCCTATCATTCAGGGCTAGCACATGTATCAGCGTGGGCGTGCGGTGCCTAAGGGCCTGTTTCCCCCTTCCCAGTTGCAAGAGCCTTGCTGTAGGCTTGTGCGATGCTCGTCTCTGCCCAGAGGAGGGTCAGTCATGTTTTGGGTCTGTTTCTTGTTCATCCATTCAACAAAAGCCCAATCCTGCTCCTTTCTGGGTATCCCTAGCCTCATCTTCAGGCCTCAGTCCTGTGTCTAGCCTAACCTGGAGAGGCCTGTCAAAGCTAGTGACAGTCCCCTTTCTCCCTTCAGGAGACAACAAGCCCATCTGGATGCATGCAGAGGAAAGGGAAGAGAGCAAGGTAGCTCTGTGGGACAGGGCTGGGCAGGTGTGGAGAGGGTAGTGGAGCTGGGATATTTAGTGGGAGCTCATCCCCCACCATCTCCCATGACTATTCTTTCCTCTAGGATAAGCGCCGGGATAGCGCCCCCTATGGGGAATATGGCAGCTGGTACAAGGCCTGTAAAGTAGACAGGTAAGGACCCCAGGAGCTGGGCATGTTGGTACATGGTAGGGTAGCAGGGGACTCTACTTACCCCAGGTGCACACACCTCTCCTGTTGCCAGTCCACCATTCAGGGCCTTAGGCCACCTGCCCAAGAAGACTTTTTGCACCAAAACAACCTGATTTTCTTGAGTCTCCCATCTTTTGGGAGACCTCTTGGCAACAGCCCATGAGGGCCCTGCAACCAAGTCCCCATCCCTTTGGCGATTCCCCCAGGACATTGGAGACTGGATAGTCCCAGCACAGGGCTTGAAACATGGGTGGGCCTAGATTCTGGTTGGGCAGATGGCTCCTAGGGGCCCAGTGTGGGCTGCAGGTTAGGATGGGTCTAGTTCTGGAGTAACATGGAGTTCGAGATGGTCTGCTATCTTGTCCACAGCCCCACAGTCAACACCACCCTGCGTAGCCTAGGGGCCCTGTATCGGCGCCAGGGTAAGCTGGAAGCCGCACACACGCTGGAAGACTGTGCCAGCCGCAGCCGCAAGCAGGTGGGGCTCCATGCACGAGGGAGTGCCCAGGGACTCTGGGGCCCTATGGTGTTCAATCAGGCCTGATGCTCCCTGCTCCTCCCTTAGGGCCTGGATCCTGCGAGCCAGACAAAGGTGGTAGAGCTCCTGAAAGATGGCAGTAGTGGGCGGGGAGACCGCCGTAGCAGCCGAGATGTGGCTGGGGGTACTGGGCCTCGGTCTGAATCTGACCTTGAGGAGGCAGGGCCTGCGGCTGAGTGGAGTGGGGTGAGTCTGGGACCTGGGATGGGCTGGAGCCCATGTGGCCAGTGAGCCTGGAGACAAGCCTGTTCACCCCACAGGACGGCAGTGGTGCCTTGCGGCGCAGCGGATCCTTTGGGAAGCTCCGTGATGCTCTGAGGCGCAGCAGTGAGATGCTTGTGAAGAAGCTGCAGGGAGGTGGCCCCCAGGATCCCCCTAACCCTAGGTAAGCCCTCCTCACCCAGGGTGAGCCTCTAACCCAGTGTGCATCCCAGTGACTGCCCCATCGTTCTCTGCTCCACCTCTCACCAGGTCTGCTCCCCTCCCAGTCCCAGCCTAACCCCTCTCCCACCCTCTCCCCAGTTCCACCATGGGCCAATCTTGACTGTCCTTTCTCCTCAGGATGAAGCGGGCCAGTTCCCTCAATTTCCTCAACAAGAGTGTTGAAGAGCCAGTCCAGGTAGGAGTGGGTGGATGTCTGGGCCCTGGGCAGCTGAAGCTAGGACCCTGGGATTCAGGTCTGCCTACATTCCTGCAGAGCTTCTCCTGAAGCATGTCTCTTCATCCAGCAACCAGTCCTGTCTCTGTCCCAGGCCTGTGTTAGAATGGGCAGGGGGAAGGTGGTTCAGGGGAACCCAGCCCCTGCCCTGGGGTGGACATGTAAGTGGCCAATGCCAATGCAGTAACATGGAAGTGGGCAGGAATGTCAAGGCAGCAAGACATAACCCTGAGCCAGAACTGCCTTGGCCTTAGTCTCTGCCCAGCTCAGGGACTCGGGCTGCCACTGCCTGGAGGGCCTAGCTAGGTCAGGCCTCTGGGCCAGGGAAACACAGATGGCCGGAGCGTGGGGCTGAGTGACCTGCCCCCTCTGCCCACAGCCTGGAAGCACAGGTCTGTCCGACAGCCGCACTCTCAGCTCAAGCTCCATGGACCTCTCCCGACGAAGCTCCCTGGTGGGCTAATCCTGAACCGGCAGCCAGTCGCCAGAGCCTTGCCAGGCACAGTCCCCACCCCAGCCCTGTGCATGGGCCTGCTGCTTGTCCTGCCTGTCTCTCCCAAGGACCCCTGTCTTTTCTGTTCAATCTCAGGGTAACCTCCTTTCTCATCATCTCAGCCTGAGCCCAGGAGGCTGGGCCTGCCCACTCCAGCTCTACTCCTTATTTATTCCTTTCAGCAGGGCCCCCTCTTCCCTCTGCTCAGGGCCAGCAGGAGCTGGCTAGGGTCTCCAAGATAGACTTGGTAGCCCGCTCTTGCCAGACCCTGGAGCCAAGAACACTAAACACCTGCCAACCCTTCAGCACCCCAGCCCAACCTCCCCACATCCCGGCCGTTGCTTCTGTATATAGAGAAATAAGTTATTGGCCGTGCCCCTCTCCTCTGTTCATGGTACTACCCGGGCCTCTCCTCACCCCACCCTTTTCTGATGGTACCGCCCAGGCCTTAATCACTTCCATTATGCGTGGTGGTATCTCCCAGGCTCCACATTCTCTGGAGCAGCACCTCCCAAAGGCTTCCCTGGACCTTCTCATGCTCCTGGCCTCCAAGGGATGCGCCCTACCCCGTGTCATCGCCCCGGGCCCACCCTCCCGTCGCTGCCGGGCCCTGCCCTGCATCCCGGCCTTATGCACTGCCCCTCCTACCCGGCACGGCCCGTCGAGCCATCATGCCACGCCGCCTCCCATGTCCACAGCTTCTCGCGAGGGACAGTAATGGCCCCCCGCCCCCCAGTGGCCGGAGAGGCTGCCCCTGTTAGGGGATGAGGCGGTCGCTCTGTTTTCAAAAGTTGCTGTAGAAATAAAGAGAGTTTGAATCTGAACTGGGCTTGTTTTGAGGCGGAGGGCCCCCAGCGACTCTGGATTTGGGTGGGCTTCGGAAAGCCTGCATGTGAGCGCATGCCTGTGTGAGTATGTGCGTGTATTCAGTCTTGTCCCACACAGCTGGAGCCAGACACTGCCCTATCCTGGAACTGCCTGGGGGCTCCACAGGTTCAGAGTCTCTTCTAAAATTTTAACTTCTGAGGCTCTACTAAGCACGGGCTTGGATGGGCTCTGCCCCTTACTAAATTGTATGACTTTGAGATTTTCGACACTCGATTTTTCTTCTATGAAAGTGACTACATCCTCCTGGGCTGTGGCTGAGTTAGGCACATGAAGAACCCTGATAAATAAACGTTGACTAGTCTATTACTAGACTTACCTTCTCTTAACGCTCACAGCCTGGGAGCTGAGAGGGTAAGGATGACTGCCTCGATCAGATAAAGTGAAACGTGCCACGCCCAGCCCTAAATGGAGCTTCCAAACGCAGAACCGCCAGCAGCCTCCGAGCGCAGTCCTCAAGCCCAGGTCCAAGGGAACGAACTACAAGCCCCAGAGGGCAATGCGGCGGCAGCGGCGCGAGGCGGCGAGGAGGCATGGACTCTTGGTGTTACGCATGCGCACGGGGGAGATGCGTTGGATAACGTGAGAGACTACAAGTTCCGAGAACAAGCGCGGCGAAGCCCCAGACGAGAGCTTTTGCGCCTGCGCGTCGCGGGCGGGGCCTCTGGGGCGGAGGAGCCACCATCTTTGAACGGGAGGCGGGGCAGGGACGGCTG